TTTGGATCATCATTGCCACCGTAGCCGGCCGTCATCGTCCCCATCGTCATGGGTCATAAGGTCATCATGCTTGTCATCATCTTGCAGCAAGCTGCCGAACGTTGCCTAAGACACTTGGTGTCCTAAAATGTGATGGCGTTCTTGACAGCTTCAGCCATCATGCTGCCAGCTGCGAGGCGGGGAGCGAAGGCACTCTGAGGCACCAGGCACCACGCTATTCGTGACACTGTTTGTACCTGGGCACAACGAGCCGGCCGCCATCCTGAACATGAGCGTCTAGGTCAGTTTCTGCCGCAGTCCCCGGAGGACATGAGGGCTGGAGGGCGTCGCCCCGCGGACTTGTACCTGCCTGCCTGGCTTGGCTTACCTGTTGAATTTGATTTCGCCGTCACAGGCACCCCAGCGACAGGCGACCCTTGCTCAGGCCAGCATGCAGTCTGGAGCCGCGGCGGAGGCTTATGTCCGTCACAAGGAGGACGACCTTGGCACGGCAGCGGCGTGCCAGGCGCAAGGCGTCCAGTCCGTGGCTTTAGTTGTTGAAACGACCGGGCCTTGGGAAGCTGGCTTCAGCCGCGACCTCAGGCAGATTGCGGGGGCAGTTGCTGCCCGCACCGGTGCGGAGCTCAGTGTCGTCGTGTGCTCCTTCCGTGCCCGCGCCGCCCTGCGGCGGCGCACGGAGCTGGAGGGGTGATTGCCTTCCCTCCTTACCTTCTGATTTCTTTGCTTGGCCTCCTGGTGTGGTCGCACGGCGGCTGCGCGGTGGTGCCAAGGGAGCTCATAGACAGTCCTGGCAAAGGAGGGCCTCCAGAGGCCGCCGCTTCCCCCGCACAAGAAGGATAATTGCACAGCGCGCGGGTTTTTGGAGTCCTCGGCCCGCGCTCGTAGGCTGGACTTGGGGCCCCGAGCTTGCTTTGGACTGTCACACTGTGACGCAGCCCGGCTTCCCGTTCGTTTCGGTGTGGGAGCTGCGTGCACAGCTAGCGATAGCTACCGGCACCCGTGCGTACAACTGCTTGTTTCTGCTACCTCCACAAGCGCTGTAGTGTTCATATGCGCTCAATGATGTCTTGCCCAATTGTATCCCCATCATCAACATTGACATGATCATGCTGGTCATGCTGGTCCTCTGCTTCGCACTCACAGCAGCAACACCATATTGACACACGTCAGAACCAAAACACTCCATCAAGCTCTATGGCATCCCTCTCAGGGTTTAGGGTTTAGACTTTAGGGTTTGGGGTTTAGGGTTGAGGGTTTGGTGCATGGGTATTGTGACCTGAATGCGGGAGAAGCTCCCTGCCCAGTTGGGCGCCTGCGTCCGTGTCACCAACCTCGGAAGTTTGAGGAACTTTAAGATTTCACGCCATAGGGTTTAGGCTTTAGGGTTTAGGGTTTAGGGTTTAGGGATCCACCGTAAACTGGGACTCTGAATACACGGCCCTATACCTGAACCCTCGTAGGAACCCTGGTGGTAACCGTTGTGCTATCCCTTGTGGTACCCTAAGTAAGCTCTTGAGCCCCAGAAACCAAAATAATTTCGGCAACGGACACAAGATGGTTCGAAAAACCAAGTACGGGAATAAGGCTTTGAGATGGATACTGTGAATACAACCCATACATGCACATGACCATGGAGCCAGCAACAACGACCAGAAGGAGCCAGCACAGCCAACAGAGCCACAGTCACAACCGAAACCATCAGCTCAGCAAAAAGCGAAGCGACAGCCGCAACCCAACACGAATCGCAATCACAACCGCAGCATCCACATAGGTAACTCCAAAAATCACCACGACTCCCACAGCTGCCGCCGCAGCACAGCCAACATACCGAAACCTCGAACTTGCTAACACCAGCAGGGCAAACCCCAAACACCTGCCCTTCCCAAATTCAAAGGCTCAGGACCTAGCTCGTACTGACTCCGGTTCACCCAGGGGGGAAGGTAGTTCTCGCCGGCCACCTGCTGGGCCACGCTTCGGTTCAGGGTTTAGGGTTTAACCTCGGGACATGAACAGTTGGGAAGAATATCAGGCCCCATCATCATCGTACAAGAATGTGCCTAAACCCTGTTCTAATTAATTAACTCACGAGGCCCCATTTTTTTTATGTAGTTTCCTCCGGGGCCGACAGTCCGCCCAATGGAGTAACGATGGCCCAGGCTTTCAGACAAAAAGGAATCCTTGATTCAAGCAACCAAACGAGTCTCTTTTGCGTATAGTGGATTTTATGGACTTTTTTTTAATCTGGGGTGCTAGAAGGTTTTAATTGCAGGGGATTTATAGGGGCCTATATAATTTCTAGCCGAGGCTGGAAGGAGTATACTATAGCACAAAGGGACGAGAGGGAAACAGTACTTGAGACTGACTTGAGACCTGTTTGTGCTTATCAGTTGAGTGGGGACTCTCCTTCCGGAATCCCTAAACCCTAAACCCCTGAACCCTAAACCCTAAACCCTAAACCCTGAACCCCAAACCCCAAGCCCCGAAACCCCTAATCTTATCATCATGGGCGCCCTCATCCCGACCAAACCCGACTTGCCAAAATCCTCCAGCACTTGCAACCCCAAGCCCTTATGGATCCCATACACTATGGCACCTCATGAAAGCCTGATAATGTAGGATAGGGTTTTGGGTTTAGGGTTTCGGGTTTAGGGTTTAGGGTTTAGGGACCTGCTTAAGAAACCTTGGTCCTATAACTGCAAGAGTAGCAGGATCCATAAAATGAACCCTAATAAGGACCCAGGGTTTCTTACTCAGGTTCCAATATTACGAACCCCTAAACCCTAAACCCTAAACTCTAAACCCGAAAATGGTCCAGCCTGTAGGGTCCTCAACCCGCCGCCGGGGGCGGTGGAGGAACGCTGCATCTTCCTTTCAGCCGCGGCTGGAGTTTGGGGATCGGGGTTTAGGGTTCAGGGTTTAGGGTTTCGGGTTCAGGGTTTAGGGTGGAGGGTTTAGGGTTTAGGGTTTAGGATTTAAGGTTCAGGGTTTGGGGTGGAGGGTTTAGGGTTTAGGGTTCAGGATGTAGGGTTCAGGGTTCAGGGTGGAGGGTTGAGGGTTTTGGGTACCGTCGGGGAGGATTATATTAGGGCTCATAAACATACTTGGGAAGGCTCTGCATGGATTTGATACGGTTTACTGCTTGCGGTCGGGGGCCTGGCATAGTGTCTGCCGTTTAGGCGTGAGCTTCATCAGATGCTTTTACGGCTCTCCAGGCCTTTGGGGCTTCAGAAACCCTAAACCCTAAACCCTAAACCGTGGTGGAGGACTGAAATTGAAGCCTCCGGTCACAAGCTGTTGAACACAGAGTTCTGATCAGCAAGTTATGTTTTGAGTCAAGGCTGGGCGCTTGCAAGCAATCCAAAATCAAACCGAACCCGAAAAAACAGCTTTTGTCACATCTTATAAGGACACATCACAAACCTTTAAATCTTCAACCCCGCACCCTCTTCTACTTTAAATCCTGAACTCAAAGGGCAAATTCGTTCGGTAGAGGCACGGCCGCACCGTGCCATCGTGGCTGATGGTGACTCCTCCGCCTGCAGAGGCTCGTTATGGTGGGTATCGATGGCTTAGCGCTGCTGCGGCGGCTGATGATCTGCTGTACTAAATGCGCGGTTCGTCTTCTTGCGTGCAAGAGCTGATGCGGTAGTCGCAGTACTCACAGTAGCCGGAGGAGTCGGAGGAGGGGAAGGAGGAGGAGGAGGAGGACGACGAGGAGCAGGGGGGATGGAACGACAGTGGTAGTAGCAGTCCCTAAACCCTAAACCCTGAATCCCAGAGCGTCGCAACAGCAGTGGTGGTCGTCGTGGTAGTGGTCGCGGCAAACCCAGAAGCTTCCAAACTCGAAGATGGCCCCTCCCAAACCTTCTCGGTCTATGGTTGAATGTAGGGGCCTTGATAATTAGAACAGGGTTTTGGGATCCTTCATAGTCTTATTAGAATAAGGAACCCTAACAGTAACATTGGTAATTATTAAGGCTTCTACATTCGGGTTTACCAGGGGGGGTCAGGGTGACGAGAAAAGCAAGAGGATCATACCAAGTTGAGGGTTTGGGGTTTAGGGTTTAGGGTTGAAAGTCCAGCCGACCGTTACGCCCTCGACGTTTCTAGAATCCTCACGGCCTCGGATCTCAGAATCCAAGGCTTTCTTGCGGCTCGGGGTGTCACGGCTCCAACACTTCAGGATTGGAAGGCCTTGACAATTAGAATAGGGTTTTTTTTTTCAAACGCCATGCGCATTCTGGTTAGAGACAGATTGAACTGCGCTTCGGCACTGGGATGGGAGGGTTTGGGGCATATCATACTATATTTTTCATAAGGAAACCCCAAAACCCTATTACATTATACTCCATTTCTCATAAGGAATCCCCAAAACCCTATCTTAATCATTAAGGCCCCTACATTAGAGCTTGAAAGGTTGCATCCGGCCCGGACCCACCCAAGACAACTCCCGGCCCAAAGGTCCCGTCGCCGAGGGATCGAAGCTCTTGCGCAGCTGCCCCGTCTGCCTGGGTTTAGGGTTTAGGGTTGAGGGTTTATTAGCAGAGGAAGATTATAGTGGGATTACACAGTGACATATGGCCTTATCTGGCCTTCCTCAGTTTTCAAAGTCTATACCACCAATACTGTGGCTGTGCATCTGATGGCCAGTCTTCTTGCCATGATGAAATCCATGGCAGCGAAATTGATGGTGCAAGTATTGGCCATGGTGATGGTAAGTGGGTTGGTGACATGGACAAGAGATTTTGAAGATAAATGCGGTTGAAGATGATCCTGATGGCGATTATCATGATGAGAACTGCGAGGATGCTGACCTGTGAAGTGGGCTGCAGATTCTTGACTACTATCGTTACTGATCCCCGAAGTCCCGAAGGTCGCATCTTGCTTCATCCTTGCCTGCCTTGAGGTGAACTCTGCCTAGATGCAGTTGCATGCGGACGTCTTCTGCCCAGACGTTTGCCCTTGCAGTTACTACCCTCACCCTCGCATCACGGGAAACCTCAAAAGCATGTCTGCACCATAATCCGATATGCCAAGTCTACGGGGTCCGACTTGGACCAGAAGTCCAGAAGTCGGAGAGAATCGATTGTTTCGGGGGTCCCAACCCACCCTGCACCCTCAACCTTCGGCACCAAGCGCCAGCCGCGCGACTCCAGATAGGACTTGTTGTACCAGCGCGCAATCCTCTGCCTGGGAGACCCTCTGAGGGGGAGTGGTGGTGGCTTGCGATTCAGCGTGGACTTCCTACCAAACCTTAGGCCCTCAACAGAAGGCACCTGAAACGCCGGAAAGCAAAACTTGGGAGCTTCGGGGTCTTAGGAGGGTCCCCTGAGTCCCTGGGCGCAAGAGATGACCCGTCCTTGTCGGAGTGTCCACGATGTGGCTGGAGGCGTGGAGGATGTGCTGGGTGCCGTTGGTCTTCGGGCAGTGCCAGACGTCCTGCACTGGGCCCCGGCCCAAAGCCCCGAAGCCAACTGGAAAGGCTCAGTGGCTGGCGAGCTGTGTGCGCATGACACCGTTGAGCTTGTCGTGTGTGGCGTTCACGGCTTGGTCGTAGACCTTTGCTCATGGAAGGGAGACTTGAGCCCTAAACCTGAACTTCTCGCCTCTTCCTTCAAGAGGGGCTCAGTCTCTTCGCGACTTCGACCAGTTCTAAGAAGCAGGCCCAGTCATAGCGGGGCCTCGGACAAGGCACGATGCGCAACGATGTCCAGGCTTGCCGCAGCTCGAAGCGTCAAGACCCTACTTCCTACAGCAGAGACGGTGCAAGGACGCTGGAGCGACGACCGCCTTTCACAACTCACCAGACGGTTCACCAAACACCTCCGCCGAATCCCCCAGCTCCAACGTGTCGTCTTGTCCTGCTCTGATCCGAAACACCCGGCAAAGCTTTGCCCAAATCCCAAACCTGCGTGCCCGGAGCCTTTCACCACGGATGGCGGACTCGCGGTCTTTGGGGAACATGGGGCCCGTGTTGGTCTTCAACCATGACCTGGCGAAGCTCTGTCATTAACAAGACCCCGACTAGCGAGTTGTAAAACTTGCTTCCGAATCGGCCGATGTTGACTTCGAAATCTGATATTGAGCATAATTCAGGAAGGAAGTTACACCCTGCCATTCAAAGCCAAAGTCGCGAACAGCCTGAAAGAACAGTAATCACAAGGTGAACATCAACAGAGGAAAGACACGTGGGCGAGCTCGGTGGCGATGTCAATCGCTGCGTTGGTGCCGGATTTGTGATTCGGTCCATTGCCAACACGCAAGCGGGAGTGCCAGTTTCTGTCTATGTGTCCTAACAGCAACGTCAAGACTAAACGGATTGGCTCTGCAAGTATAACCATTGCAACATCGGCAAACATCTCATTCAATCCGACTGCTGCCATAAAAATGCGACATCTGCAACAATGCATCGCTTCCGTACACCAGCCCATGATCTGCAAGGCTGAAAAATTGACGTTGGCGCATGAAAGCAATGAAACCGGGACACAAGCTTTGCCAAAAATACTTATCATGGAAAATAAACACACGAGCTGACGAACTGCCGCAACATAGCCAAAATCGTTTCCCTCGCTCTCCATGGAGGTCCAACTTGGGGCCAAAGCCATCTTCTCTGGAGCAACACATGCCGAAGAGATCAAACGGCGATTCAACACACGGAAAATTCCGCACTTCTTGCAACAAGCAGCAAAACACCGTTACGCTCAAGATGTAAGAGCATATGTTAACAGACCTGAAAGAACCGATCACGTGGCTTTTTTGGAATAGCTACACAACAAGCTTTGCAGATTAAGCAACGCCAGCGGTACAAAAGTGTTGCATAGAAAGCACTGCCTGCATGCAAAAGGGCGCTGCACAATCGTCTTCTGCGAAGAATACCAAAAACGAGAGCGGCTCGAATGAGTTTAGCCGAGGTTCGATCTGGACGCTGGACGTTGCAAGATGTCCGGAGGGTGGTATTTCCGGATTCACCAATGTTACAAACCTGGGTTGAAGCTCAGCTCTAATCCGATCTTTAATATATACGTAGGACCTACTGCAAATGTACTATGATTGGAGTGTGCTTAGCTCCGCTCTATAATCGAAGCAGCAAGAAAGCACGAAACGTTCTCGCTGTGTGCGACTATGGCTAAAACTTGGATCGAAATCTGGTTGATTGCTCGAACTAAACTTGTTATAGCGCCATATCGCGGAAAAAAAAGAGCTGCGAACGGGGAACGGCCGACAAATAAGTTTGTGGCTGTCAATGCTGTTAATTTCATGTAACAATCAAACTAATCTGCGCGCGTCTACAAGACTTGCTTGAAATGTCAAGCCAACCCATACGTCCTTCAATGGAATCTTGACGTGGTGGCCTGGAACCATTTCATAGCTCTTCCTCAATCTTCCTTCAAGTTGTCTTTCGAATCTTCACTTTTAAATGGTAGTCAGTTGAGCAAGGCTTCAAGGGTTTCAATGACTTTGAAGAATTTCCAACACAAGCCATACGAAGGGACTCTTTCTTGAGCCGAACAAAAACTTCTCCCAACACTTCGAAGGCCTTGCATTCGATCTTTTCGAAGCTTCGAAAAATTCGAAAAGAACGAAAGGGCAAGAAACTTTGGAATTTGTCTGCGATTTGTGCAACCTCACATGAAAAAACATGTTCTTTTTGCTCTACGCTAACGCAGCAAAAGTACATAGAATTTCTTGACAACACACAAGAGAGGAAAAGAAACGAAGTTCTTAAGAACGCTGAAAACGAAGAAAAATATAAATGAAGTGTGCAAGAATTCGGGGAATGTATCTCTTACGCTCTTTTTTGCCATATCTGCCACCCAGCGGATTGAGTCTCTTGCAAGAAATCCGGTTTGCGGACTCTTACTACTACTACTACTACTGCTACTACTACTACTACTACTACTACTACTACTTGCTACTACTACTACTACTACTACTACTACTACTTGCTACTACTACTACTACTACTACTACT